CCAGACGGCCTGGAACGCCGGCGATGCCGCCCCCCATCCCCGCCGTTCCACCTGCTCATGGGACCGTTTGTCCCCCTGGCCCCTTGGGCCCTCCCTCTTCTGGACCGCCCGGGCCTACCTGTCCCAGCGCAGCGGCGTTTGTCTACTGGTCCACCTGGCCCCCGCCTGCGTTGCCTGCTCTCCGCCCCCCCCCCCCCCCCCCCCATCCTGTCTTTAACGTGTATTGGGGCCGCGTGTCCCACCTGGTCCCACTGGGTGCCCAGCTCCACCCAAGTGAGCACCGATGGCGCGGGCTGGCGCGTCGACGGCCGGCGGTGAGCGCCAGCCTTCTCCTCCCCGTTCGCTTCTCCCCCTCCCGCTCGCCCCCCCCCCCCCCCTCGCGGCGGCAGCGCCCGGCGCTGCGCGGCTTCGGCCCGGCGCTAGGCGCTGCGCCTCGCCGCCTCGGCGGCCCCGCTCGCCATGGCGCTGCGCGGCTCAGGCCCGGCCCTTAGCATTGCGGACGTCAGCGCATCGTGTGTGGCTGCTGCCCGTCTTCACGCGCTGTCGACGCAGGGCATGTCCCCCCCCTGCAGCTCACCGACTTCCTGTCGGTCATGGACGGCCCGTTCGTTTGGAGGCCGCGCCTCAAGCTACACTGCTACCTGGTCGTGGTTTGGATTACTCTGCATCATCCATCTGGTGGCACAACCTGTTCCCCGGGCCCCGCCCGCCCCGGCCGCCTGAGGCCCCGCCTTCCTGCGCCCTGTCTCCTTATTTTGCGGGCTGTGTGTAGCCCGCCTAGCTTTTAGCGGAAGAGGTTCGCTCTCGCACCGCTGATCATAAAAGTGCGTGTGTATGTGTTCGCGCGTGTATTTGCGCGCGTGCGCTAGCGCGCAGCGATTGCAACCCGTCGCCGCGTCGGAAGAACGGTTGTGCGCGCTTGTGCGTTTAAGCGCTTCTGGCGCGCGCGAGGCGCCCTTCTTGCCCTTGCCGGGCGGCGCCGCGCCTCGGGGCGGCTGGTGGAGGTCGTCTTGGGCCATGCCACCTTCTGCGGGCTGGCGAGGCGCGAGACGCCGTCGGTGTTCGCGACGGTGTGCCCGTTCACTTGGAAGCACTACGACCACCCATCGCCCTGCGGCCGTCCGTTGCCGACGAGCTGAGAGCCTTCGCTGGGCTGATGGCGATGCTTCTCTCGAGCTGGGAGTCCGACTCGAACCCCATTGCGGCGGTCGCGGACGCCTCGGAGACTGGCTGCGGCATCTGCCCGCGGTGGTTCGACGCCCGCGACGTCGCGGCGGTCGGGCGGCGCCGCGAGCGAGACCGCTGCCGCGCCGACGACCGCGTCGGGGCTCGCGCCGCGGCCCTGGGGGGGTGGCCTGCCGGCGCCCGAGCTTCTGGGCGTCGAGGGATGTCCCGGGCGCGACGGCCTCCTGGTTGATCCGAGCTTCGCCGAGGTGCCCAGCTCCATGACGGAGCAGTCCAGGTGGTCGGTCATCGGGGGCTGGAGGTTTCGCCAGCCCGAGGACATCACGGCCCTGGAGGCCCGGGGGATGCTGCGCGGGCTGGAGAGAGTGAGCCGCGCCAGGCTTGGCCGCAACATTCAACAGCTTCTGTTTGCAAACAACTTGGGGCTCGTGCTCGCCGCAGGCAGGTGGCGGTGCCGGAGCTTCAAAATCCTTGTCGTCCTGCGCAGAATGGAGGCTGCGCGTCTCCGTCGCAACGCCCACTTCTAAGTCCGCTAGACCCCGTCAGAGAGGACTCCCGCCGACGCCCCCTTCCCGCTTTCTTTGAGCCCCAGCCAGTTGCAGCTGAGCTTAGAAAGGACGACGTTGGTCGACCTTACCTCCGTGAGCGCGCCCCCCGCGACGCAGTCCAAACCCTCGGGAAAGCGGAGGGGCCGCGAGCCCGACGGCGCCGCATAAATGCACCCGCTCGGCGCCAAACTCTCTTGCCGATTTTTCTCGGGATCACTCCGAGGTTTCCAGTCGTGATATGCCCGCAGATCTCCCGATCGCTTTGGAGGCTCACGCCCCCGCCGACGTTCGAGATCTGGGGTTCCGCGAAGTGGAGCCCCGCGCAATGCATCGTCTGCGGGGTCTTCCGAGTAAGAACGGCAGCGCTTCAGCAGCTGCGCCTCGCCCTGCCGCCGTAGACGTCCCGGCTCAATCCTATCTCCATACAAGCGAACCTCTCTACATCAGGCGCCAGAGTGCGAGCGCTGGCCTCGCCCCAGGCCAAATCGGCGCCGACTGGTGGCCCCAGGCGGGAGCGCCGCCCCCAGTGCACGCAGGTCCCGTTCGCCTCGCGGCAGCGCGCTTCCCGAGTGCTGGAGCCGCGGAGCACATTCGGGGTAAGGGCTCAGGCCCGCCGCGCCAGTCAACCACTAATTCTAACAACGCCGAGATGACGCGTCGGCTGGAACAGTCGCGGCCGCCAGTCAGCTCCGAGCCGCAGTTCGCGGGGGGGCTCGAGCTCCGGCAGCGAGGAGGGGGGCCGCGCCGACCACGTCGAGGCCCTTGCCCAGTCGCGCCCTCTCCGCCGCACCGAGGGGAGCGCCCTCGCGACGCTGCTGGAGTCGCCCATGGCCCCCGAGATGCCCCACCTGACCTCGGGAGGGGGCGCGTCGCGGTGATGCGGCCGTTCGATGCCCAACGCGCCCAGAAGGTGCACCAGTTCATATGCAGCCTACGTTGTTCGGACATGACCATGGTCGCCCGCTTGATATGGGGCGCCCGTGTCAGGCCGATCCAGCTGGTGGCCCTCAGGCCCGATGGTCAGCATGCGCCCAGCCAGGTTGCCACCCGCCTGGCCGTCCAGCTCATCTTCCAAGTCGAGGCCGCCCCCTCGAAGGCCGAGAGTTCAGCGTGACGATCGAGCTAGGCCGCGACTTGCGGAGCAGCCTGGCCGCGATGTCGGAGGCCGCCGAGTCAAGGCCTCCAGATCGAACGGCGCGGAGTTGCCGTTGCCTTCAAGTGGCCGCCACCGTGCAGAAGGCGTCAGGGAACTTGGGTTTTGTTCTAGCGTTCCACCAGGCCGTTCGCAGCAGCGCCAGCTCCGACACGGTCTCGCGCCAGCGCCCGATTGCGGAGGTCGAAAAGCGATGGGGGCGGAAGTCCGTTCGTTCAGCCGTGCAGCGCGCGAGGAGGGCCCGTCGCAGTTCCACGCGGGCGGCGCGCCCGCCGTGGCCGCGTGCCCCCCCTGCGGATTTCGAGGAGAAGTTCGCGGAGATCTCGGCGCATGGCCTCGTGCTGCCAAGGCCCGCTTCGCGCTGGGAGTGAATGTGCGGCGCCTATTCGTCCTTGTTATCTGGGGGTCGTTTCAGTATGCCTTCCCAAGTTGTCAAGTGTGACTTCCGCGTCATATTCATCAGACTTGGACGCGCGTCGGATTTGCTCTCCTTCAGGCTCCGCTCAGGCATGTGGCATGGCAAAGTCGGAGCTCTGTTCACTTCCTTGTGCAATGCCGCCCGCTCCACAGGCCTAGTTCTGCTGATGTCGGACGTGGGCAGTTCGGGGCTGCGGCAGTGATTAGCCCCTTTCAGCTCGATCGGTAAGTCTGTTACTTGTCGATATCCCACCCTTCCTGCCTTGCAGCTCGTGTCGCATATGCGTAGATACCGTGGCGCCACCAGACTCAGCGTCACCTCTCAGGTTTGCAATGTGATGTCTGGCGACGCAACCCGCCTCGGGCTAGGATGCTCTGGCATTAGGTTTAGAGATGGACATGGTAAACATGTCTCACACCGCGCCCCTGTGAGTTTATACCCAATCGTTTTCAAGAGGCCGTCTTCATCACTGTTTTAAGCGCCCTTGGGGCGCAATGCCTTTCGGTGTGAACATTTTCTGTTTCGGGAACCTGCTTTGGGTGGTTTTAGCGAGAGGCGATCGTCCCACATGCCTCTCTGCCTCGGATCCGAGTCGCTTTGGCCAGCGAGCTTAGTAGAGAGACTAGGTTCCCGCTGAAAACCGAGGGTACGTCATCATATTTCTAGCCCTGAGCCGTCGCAACGTCATATGTTAAGGAATATATGGGAATCCGTTATTGCCAGATACATTTGTTTTGCATTCCCTGGGCATCAAAGGTATCAGTACCAACCAGCACAGGAAACAAGTTCCCCAACATTGTGAAACAGCGCAAGGACTAAAATCTTAGCGTCGATCTCGAGGGACGGAGTTGCAACATCATGACCAGTTGCTGTTACATGTAATGGTGTGTCTGCGCGCGTGTGCGTAGGTGTGTGTGTGTGTGCGCGCGCGTTTCCCACCATGTCACTACTGCGGGCTTCTGGGTTGCGGGTATCCTACCACGTCCACTACTCACTCTATCTCACATCACGACGACGACGCCCGCCCTGTCATTATGGTCTGTTCTGTCCTGTGTCAGCTTGAAGCGATTTACCTCCAGCCTGGCACTTGCTCCACCTCTTTATGTACTTGCTTCACACGGTGGCCACGTGAACTGTGGGCAGGGAGTGTTAATTGTTTCACCTGGCTTGGCCTTGTCTACGTAGCGGTGGCTCGCGTGTTTTGCCTCGGTCTGTTCTTTCATTTCTCCTGGCCGCTAGTCAGACACTTCTTCGCGATGATATGTTCGCTTCCCTGTGGCGCAACAACTTAGCGCGCGCGTGCGCCACCCCAGTGCGCATGCGTGCGCATGCGTGCGTGGGTACGTGTGTGTGCGATACGATTCAACTCCGCGCGGCCCCGAGTCTGCTCCGTGCGGCGGGCGATAACTCCCAGCACTGGCCCTCTCTCGCGTGTCTCGAAAATGCTCCTGCGGCGGCGCCCGCCCGAGAGGTGTCGTGCTCCGGCCAAAATGGCGTGGCATCCACCCCACCGTGCTTCCCGCCTCCCTCCCTCCGCCCCGTGTTTCGTCAAGACGCGGTGCCATGGGGGGTGGAGGCGCGTTGAAGGCCTCTCGGAGGGAATCGGCCCCCTCTCGAACCAGGCCCCTCGGAAGGCCTATGGGGCGTCTGAGAGGCGGACTTCCCGCCCCCCTTCCTCCGCTTTCTCCTGGTCCAGTCGGTCCTAGCGCCGCCAGGCCTATCGCATCGGCTGCGTGGCGTTGCCTGCAGGATGCCGAAGACGGCGACGTCGATGGTGGCGCTGGCAACAATGACGAGGAGGGACCATAGCGAGAACGGTGTGATGGGACGACGACGACGATGACGACGACGACGGCAACGGCGATGACGATGACGATCACGATGACGATGATGATTATGATGATGATATCCATGATGACGATGATGATGATGATGATGATGATGATGATGATGATGATGGTGATATGATGATGATGGTGGTGGCGATGATGATATTGATGAGGAGGAGGGGGATTATGATGATGGTAGTGATGATGATGATGATGATGATGATGATGACGATGCTGATGGTGTTGGTGATGATATTGATGCTGATGCTGATGTTGATGATGATGATGACGATGCTGACGATGATGATGCTGATGCTGATGATGACGATGCTGATGATGATGTTGATGATGATGATGATGATGAGGACGACGATGACGACGAGGAGGATGATGAGGACGACGACCACGACGGCTACGATGATGATGATGATGGCTTCCACGATGGTGATGATGATGACGACAATGACGGCTTATGATGATGCTGTTGGTTGTGGTGATGATGATTGAGAATGATGATTATGATGTTGATGCTGATGATGTTTGTGATGATGATTGTGATGATAATGATGATGATGATGCTGATGATGATGATGATAATGATGATGTTGATGATGATGATGATGATGCTGACGATGATGATGGTGATGATGATGACGATGATGATGATGCTGATGATGATGATGACGATGATGATGGTGATGATGATGATGATGATGCTGACGACGATGCTAATGCTAATGGTGATGATGATGCTGGTGATGGTGATGGTGATGGTTATGGTGATTGTGCTGCTGCTGATGATGATGCTGATGATGATTATGATGATGATGATGATGATGATGATGATGATGATGATGATGATGATGATGATGATGATGATGATGATGATGATGATGATGATGATGTTTGAGGAGCAGGGGAGACTGGGGGCTGGGTGGAGGTATGGCAGGGGCGGTAGGAGGTGTGGGAGGACGGGAAGTGGGGTGGGAGACGCTTCAGCGGATGCCAGACATGGAACCTCAGGTTAGATGCCAGATGTGGATGCCAGACGTGGAAGGACGTGCAAGTTAATGTCCCAAACACGTCTTACTCTGAGGGATGATCGCTCGGGCTTAGCAGAGTTGTCCCTGGTCGCTGGGACATCCCCTGGGCCGCCGCTAGCCTGACTAGCTATATCGCTGAGTGGCCGCACAGCCCTTGACCGCTGGGAGGTCCGCTGGCCGCCGCGAGCCTTTGGTGACCGCGTGGACCTAGGTCGTTGGGAGTTCCCGCCGGCCGCCACTTGGTCCTTGGTGACCGCTTGGCTTTGGGCCCTGGACCCCTTTTGCCATCACTCGCTTTACTGTTTGCTCTAGAATTCTGCACGCGGCCGCGTGTGATTCGACTGCCAATCGCTCTGGCCGACCTCTTCGTCCTCCTCCTCCTCCTCCTCCTCCTCCTCCTTTGCACTGCCACGAACCATCTTAGAGTAGGTATTCCACCTTATGTTCCTCATTTTCCTCTTCCTGGTCCTCCTCCTCCTCCTCCTTCGAGGAGGAGGAGGAGGAGGAGGAGGAGGAGGAGGAGGTGGAGGAGGAGGAGGAGGAGGAGGAGGAGGAGGGAGGAGGAGGAGGAGGAGGAGGACTGGGCCCAGGAGCGGTGTGCACGCCATCGTGCCCTGGCCAGGAGGGCGCATCCAGGGCTCAGGCCTGGGCGTGGCAAGGATCGGCGCCCCTCGTCGTCATCATCGTCGCCGTCGTCGTCGGAAAGGGGGGGGGGCTCGTCGTCGGTGTTTAGCTGACGTCCTCTTCCTTCGCTCCCTTCCCGCCCTCAGCGCCACGTCGCTCCCGGCCCCCAAAGACCAGGACTGGACGCGGCGGTGCCCGCCTGCGCCAGGGTCCACGTGGTGAACGACGGGCAGGCGCCTCTCAGACGCAGCGTTCGGTCGCGCCGTCGCGGGCGTGGCCCGCCCGAGGGGAGGCGTCGTGTCCCGTGGGCGCGGTGGGGAGGAGGGAGGAGGAGGAGGAGGAGGAGGAGGAGGAGGAGGAGGAGGAAGAGGACCAGTGTAAACCCAAGACTCATCAACGATGTTGCAATGATTCCTCCCTCCAAGTTCCCTCTCCACAGGTGCCTACGAGGGTTCATGTTCACTGAGGGAAGTGATCCGTTGAAAGACAGCCGTTTGAAAATCTTGAGCCATGCCAGTACACCGTTCCTGGGACTTCAGCGCCGCGAACCAAAGTTAATCTTGCACCCGGATTATCTTGAACCGCGACAGAACCCCATTCTTTGAATTGCAACACCGCGAATAAACGTAACTGTTGCGCCCTGACAGTCATACACCGTGCCAAAGCCTGATTGCTGGGACGACAACCATAATTATCCATGAAACTGCTGCAAACTCGTAAGACGAATGTGCGCGACGCTCAGGCGAGGGCCACATGTTGAAAAGAAGCCGCCCTGCTTCCGTGAAGCTTTTGCAAACTGGACAACGAATGCGACGGCGCTAAAGGGAGAACCACATTCTGAAAAGGAGCCGCCCTTCATCCGTGAAGTGCTTAAAATGTGTCAGACGAATGTGCGCGGCCCTTCTGACAACTTCTGCAATCTTGAACTCGTTTGAAGCTTTTCAAAGCGTCCCGCGGAGCTCTTGCAATATTTTGAAAAGAATGTGACGGCGCTAATGCGAGAGCCACATTTGAAAACCAACCGCCCTCCATCCGTGAAGCTTTTGCAATTCGTAAGCTTACAGGTCATAGAAGTTGAGGGAGCCTCAGGCGACACGCCGGGCCCGCCCTACCGTCACGTCTTGGGGCGTGAAAAGGAGGAGTTCAGCGGTGATGGGGGTGAGATCGAAGTGGAACGGGTAGCCCCCCACCGGGAAATCGGTTCGGGTTTCGGGTTCGCCTCGTGCGTGCGGGCAGGCGAAGCTGCGTGAGCGGGCGAGATGAATGAACTCTCCTCTGGCTAGGGCGCGGCGAGGACAAAAGTCCGCCCCTCCCGGTTCGTGGTTGATGTGTCGATGGTGTCCATCGGTGTCCCGCCGTGGTGTCCCGATGGTGTCCCGTGGTGTCCCGTGGTGTCCCGTGGTGTCCCGCGGTGTCCTGCGGTGTCCCGTGATTGTGTCCCGCAGTGTCCCGTGGTGTCCCGTGGTGTCCCGCGATGTCCCGCGAAGTTCCGATGGTGCTCCGCCGTGGTGTCCGGATGGTGTCCCTTGGCGTCCCCTGGTGTCTCGTTCTGTCCCGCGGTGTCCCGCGGTCCCGTGGTGTCCCGTGAGATCGATATCAAGATCGATAGTGCAATCGATAGTGATATCGATGGTGAAATCGATAGTGAGGTCGAACATGATACCGATAGTGAGATCGATAGTGGAATATGTTGTGATACCGATAGCGGGATCGATAGTGATATCGATAATGGGACCAATAGTCAGATCGATAGTCAGATCGATAGCGAGATATATTATGAGATCGATAGTGATATCGAAAGTGGGGTCGATTGCGAGATCGATAGTGGGATCGATTGTACGATCGATAGTGAGATTGATAGTGAGATCGATTGGGTGAGACGTTGGTTTCCCCGAACCTTCTTATCACCCGAAGGGTGGTCGTATAGGTATTACTTGGAAAGGGATGGAGGAGAGAGAAGGAGTGGGTGGAGGAGGAAGGGGGAGGACGAGGAGGACTAGGAGGAGGAGGAGGATGGGGAGGAGGATGAAGATGAGGAGGAAGACGAGGAGGAGGAGGGACGGGAAGATGGAGGACGAAGGAGGAGGAGGAGAAGGACGAGGAGAAACGAGAAGGGAGGATGATGATGAGGAGGAGGGACCAAGAGGACGCCGGGGGGGGGGGAGGAGGAGGAGGAGGAGGAGGAGGAGGAGGAGGAGGAGGAGGAGGGCAGGAGGAGCAGGAGGAGCAGGAGGAGCAGGAGGAGCAGGAGCAGGAGGAGGAGGAGCAGGAGGAAGAGCAGGAGGAGGAGCAGGAGGAGGAGGAGGACAAGGCTAGGTCATCTCGGCGCTCATCAGCAATCAACATGTGCGCCCCAGTGACACATCCTGATGTCGACAGGCACCACGGGCGCCCTTCTCCGTCGCCGCCCTGATCTGCTCCGCTCTCTGGGCGCGATCTCCGCTCTCTCTCTCGGCCAGTTCTTCGACTGGACGCTCGGTGCGCCGAGGGGATGCTCGTGCTGCGCTTCCGGCAGCGGGGAAAGCGGACAGGCAAACGCACACGCGAGAGCGTTCTGCAGTCCATGGGTCGCCCGCGGGAGCGCAAGGCTGATCGCGCGCCTCGAGCGGCTGCCCTTCGGCCAAGGGGGTGGCGCGAGGGCCGGACGGCGCGAAGGTGATCGCGCACCGCGGGGCGAGGTGCGCGAAGTTGGGAGGCCTGCGTAGTGCCTTTTTCTCCGTGCGTGTCCGTCCTTCTCTTCACCTGGCCGAGGATGCAGTCGACCACCCGACGATACAGGTCGGCTCGCCGACATACCACCACCTCAATCCCCACTGCCATGCCCTACGTACCTGCGTACCCACACCTCTGAGCACACGCCCTGTCTTTTTTTGTTTTCTCCTGGGGGCCCGAGAGGGCATGTTGAGCTGGGAGGTGGGGCGGCTCGAACGTTTCAGGAGCCGCGAACAGGATCGATGATGGCCAGAATGAGGAATGGAGGAAGAGAACGGGGAAGGGACGGAAGAGGAGGGGATGAGGGAGGGGGCGGGAGGGGGATCGGGCTCGTCAAAGTGGCGTGTGGGTGCATTTTGCGTCAGGTCGGCCTTCTGCTGCATGGTATTTTGGCTTCCCCCCCATGCCCGTCCTTAGCCACGGAAAGCCTTCTGGTTACGTGCTCTCGTCAACTCCCTCTTCTTATTCCTCCCCTGTCCCCTCCCACGTCGTCACGTCTTCTCCCTTCTCGTCTAAGCTTCCACCGCGCCAAAATTCGTCGCCATTATCCTCCCTCCCCCTCCTCCTCCTCCTCCCCTCCTCCTCCTCCTCCTCCTCCTCCTCCTCCTCCTCTTCCTCCTCCTCCTCCCCCTCCTCCTCCTCCTTCTTCTCCAAGAGCAGGCTCGCCTGCCCAGGCCACAGCAGTCCACTGTCATGTTTAGTTCCAGAGCCTAGGAGGCACAGGCTCTTACTGCTTCCTTTCTTAGCTGATGATGAGGCATTCTACCTCGGACGTGCGAGGTGCGGGGCCCACTCTTCGAGAGATTTGCGTTGCTTGGCTGCGAGTTGCCATCGAGGCGATTCGTCGTCGTCGTCGGATGTCCAGCAGCACCGCTGGAGCCGGATGTTGAAGGTGCAGCATCCACGGACTGAGAAGGGGAAGAGCATTGTTTTGGGCCCCCCTGAGTCCATGGAGTGCCTCCAGAGGGCAGCCCGCCAGCAGTGTAGCGCAATGGAGGGCAGCAGCAGCAGCAGCAGCAGCAGCAGCAGCAGCCGCAGAAGCAGCGAGAGCAGGGGGTAGAGGCGGGGCCTCCCTCGTGCGAATGCGAGGCCGCCTGCCATCGCTCTTTGATGGGTAGAGCGAGGCAGAGTCGGATTCCTCTTACTAGTCGTCAACCTCCTCCTCCTCCTCCCCCTCCTCCTCCTCCTCCTCCTCCTCGTCCTCTTCCCCTTTGCCCGCGCCAGGTGCCCTGGCCAGAGACGGCCGCGGTGGCGCTGGTGGCCGGGGAGGCTTCCGCGCCCCATTCCATCTCCAGCTGCCCTCTCTGCGTCCGCCACCCACTCCCTCCTCGCATCCCCCCCCTCCTCCTCCTCCTCCTTCCTCTCCTCCTCCTCCTCTTCCTCCTTCTACTCCTCCTCCTCCTCCTCCTCCTCCCTCTCCTCTCTCCTCCTCCTCCTCCTCCTCCTCCTCCTCCTGCTCCTCCTCCTCCTCCTTCCTCTCCTCCTCCTCCTCCTCCTCCTCCTCCGCCTCCTCTGCCCGCAGCGCCTCCGCCTGCGCCCCGCGGCGACGACGACGCCCCCCCCCTTGCCTCGCCCCGGGGCCATCTTGACCCTGTTATGTAGCCAGTTCCAGTTCCAGCTTCCCTCGCCCTGAGGCCAGGCGAGAACACGACCCAGCGTCCAGGCGAGAACGCGACCCCGCGCGATCCGCTCCTCCCTCTCGGAATTTTCTTCCACGTTCCTCGTTCCTCTTTCCCTTGTAGCACTCCCGATTCCGCATTCCATCTCGTTACTCGTCCCCTTCCACCCCAGCCAGTCCAGCTGGCCGGCGGTGGTGACGAGGCAGGCATGCCACTGAGGTATGCCGTCAGCCGATTTGCACGTCCTTCCCGCAGAGTGCGCAGGCGGGCTTCATCACACACTGAGCACTGCACAAACGGTGCGTTGCTTCGCAGGCTTCGTCGCTCGAGCCGCCGCCGACGTATGTCTTCGGCAGGCTTCGCAAGACAGCAGTTCAGTCCTGGGCTCCCAGCGGCTCCTTGAGGTCGTGTATCATGCTGGACCGCCCGTGCCTCTGCGCTTTGTGTCCTGGCCCCTCTCTCTCTCTCTCTCTCTCCCGTGCTTCGTTGCCGTCCTCGGTCGCCGAATTCCCTCGCCAGGCGGCGCGTCCTGAGTTCCACCGTCCCTGTCCCGCAGGAGGTTCATTCATCTATCCATACTTCCCGTTACCACCCTACCCCGTCAACAAGGCTGAGGGCTGCCGTTGATGTGTCTACCGCGGCGAGGGCGGCGCTTCGGCACCTCAGGGTAACGCGTCCTGAGGGCGGGGCTCGAGTGGCAGGAAAGGAGACGAGCTTTCATGATACGATGACCTCTACTTGTCCACCCTCTCCTCCCCTCCCATTATATCCTGCTCTTCGCCGCGTGAGAGCAGCAAACAGGCGCTCGACTTCCAGCACCTGCCCCTGGGCCCGTTGGAGCCGGGAGAGGCGGCATGGGATTGCCCGCGTTGTGTCGTCCACCCGCCTTGTTTTGATTATCTTTTGTCCCCGCCCCCATCTCCCGCACCTCGCAACCTCCTCCTTCTCTTCCTCCTCCTGGTCCTCCTCCTCCCCCTTCCCCTCCATTGCCCTTACCTTTCAGAATCCCCTTTCTGCTTCCGATCCCATTCCCCACCCACCCACCCACCCACCCACCCCTCCTCCTGCAGCCCCCGTTTGTCCTTATTCTCCATCTTCGCCTCCCCGTCGCCGTGCCGTTTTTCCGCTCCGCATGCCCCTTCCTGTCTCCGATCCCCCTCCCCCAGCCGCCGCCGCCCCGCTCGCCTCCTCTCCCCATCCCTTCCCTCTGCCCCCCTTCCCCTCTCCCATCCCCCAGCGCGGTTGTTTGGTTGTTGTCTTTTAATATTCCCCCAAAAAGAGATGTGTGTTGTGAAGCATGGTCCCAGCCCCCACACGAGGAGAACCATGAGGAGGACCAGGTGGATGACTTGATCGTCCTTACAGTCGGGGCCCTGAAGAAGGAACCCTTTTCGTTGGGGAGGGGCTCCGCGTTCCTTAAGTGTTTCGCAGCTTGCCTCAGGCTTTCCTTATGTCTTCGACACGAAATCGAAGGTTAACTCATGGGAAAAAGGGGCCCCGTTCCTTACTTAGGGTTCCTTAGGTCAACGCCCCGACTGTACCTGCCCCGCACAGCGTGTCGATGTTCCGCTCCGCACATTCCGAAGGTCAGGCTCCTGCTCGTCCGAGAGGCATTACTCGACGGCCGCGGGCTGCTCCCCTGCTTCGGCAGGTCGTTGCTGAACTGGAGGAGGAGGAGGAGGAGGAGGAGGAGGAGGAGGAGGAGGAGGAGGAGGTGGAGCAGGAGGAGGCTGTAGCCTGAGAGCCTCTCGGCTTTCTGCTCCTGCTGCCAGGGTCCTGAGCAGGCTCCCGGGGCCTCCAGCGTTCCCGTGGTGACGCCGCGAGAGCTTGTCTTTGGAACGCCGTCTCCGTCTCCGTTTCTTCTGATCTGGGCAGCCACTCGAGGGCCCAGGGTGAGAGCAGCCTGCTTATGGCCGCCCCGTTCTTAGATCATCGCCTTGTCAGTCTTGCCCTTCCACTCCTGGCCCATCCTCATATCAATTTCTCACCTCCGCCTCTTCGCCCTCGTCCTCATCATTTTTTCCGGTCGCGCTCTGGCTTTCTATTAGCTTTGTCGTGGTTTACCAGTTTTCTTTGTCAGTGTCCCCCTCGTCCACGTCCTCATCTTCATTTGGTGTTTGTGTTGTTTCTCGACGTCGCCCTCCTAACACTCCACGTGCTCCTCGTCCGCCTCCGTAGTTATCCTCGCCCTGCTGTGCCCTCCCTCTCCGCCTCCCTGTCAATCTATTATTCAACTCTGGCTCGTCTTCGCCCCCCTCGTCGGTACCGTCGTCGTCTTTCTCATCATTGCCTCCGTGTCCCGCTCCATGTCTTCCGCCCGCTACTCGTTTCCCTCGTCATCGTCGTTGTGCGTCGTTGTCGTTTTTCTCCTCCTCCTCCTCCTTCTCCTCCTCCTCCTCCTCCACTCCTTGTCCTTCTGGATAACTCCTTCCTGTCTCACCCCGAAGCTGGTCGAAAGGGCGGGCTGGGCGTCTCGCCTGAGACTTCCTTACAGTCGGGGCCCTGAAGAAGGAACCCTTTTTGTCGGGGAGGGGCTCCGTGTTCCTTAGTTGCTTTACAGTGCTCCTCAGGTTTTCCTGAGGTTTTCGATGGAACATCGGAGTTTAATGTATGGGAAAAAGGGGCCTCGTTCCTTATTTATCGTTCCTTAGGTCAACTCCCCGACTGTACCACTTAGGATCTTGATTCTCAACAGCTGGCAACGGTTTCACGGATGGAGGGTGGGCGGTTTTCAAATTGTGGTTATCACCATAGCGCCGCGCAATGCGGGATGATGATTAATGAAAAAATGGGAGAGAACGATTAAGAACATAGTTTTCTGCTGTTTCTGCACAAGTTTCTGACTGGAGGAGAACGATTAAAGAATAGCTTTCCAGCCCGCGGCCGGTTTTTTTCTAATCGTCACCCCGGGCGCCGCCGCGTGAACACGACCCCCGGTCATTTATTAATCGTCATCCTCCACTACATTTGCTAAACACAATTACGAGAGTTGAATTGGTTGAGGGCGGGCCGTTTTCAAAAGGTGGCTCTCGCCTTAGCGCCGCGCACACTTTTGCTTTACTTGCTCAAGAGTTTCATCGAGTGAGGGCGGGCGGTTTTCAAAATGTGGTTCTCGCCTGAGCGCCGCGCACATTCGTTAATTCGTTAAACCAGAAATCGAGAGCTTCACGGATTGAGGGCGGGTCGTTTTCAACATGTGGGCCTCCCCTTAGCGCCGTGCACATGCATTTTTCAAACATTTGCAAGAGTTTCACGGACTCCCATGCTTAACGTACCATCGATGCTCTTATGGAACGACTCAGGACTGTCAGGGGGCAAAACTTAGAAGGTGATTTGCGGTATTGAAGTCCCAAGAACGGTTTTCTGGCACGATTCAAGATCGTCAAGACGCAACAGTCAGGTTTATTCGATCGTGTTTTGGCACGCTACCTTACGCTGGCCCTCTCCCAGGCCACGGTTCACCTCATGAGTTTGCTCGGTTTGCGGGTCGGCTTGCGGGTCGCTTCTTTGAAGGTTTCACGCGTCCAGGCTACAGCAGCATAGCCAGGAGCTCGGATTGCGGGTCCAGTGTGTGCTTTGATGATGATGTTGCCGAGTGGACACGATTTGGCGGTAGCCGGTGTTGCTCTGCCCACGTCCGCCAAGCACGCACGGCGCAGTCCACGAGCCACGTGTCTTTGCTCAGGGCACCGCGGAAGTCCTTGCCAGTGGATAACGAGAAGCAGTAGAGCTGATATGCTACGAACACTCGGCTGGCCAGTTCAACAACACATGGCACGCTTCAAGGTCTTCAAACGCTTGTCTCCCAGCGGGGCTCTTCCGAAAGTTAACATGGATATTTGTAGGGGCCTGTGAAGAGGGAGTTCGGAGGGAAGGTTTATTCCAGAATCGTTGATGGGTCTTGGGTCTACACTGGTCCTCCTCTTCATCCTCCGTCTACTCCGCCTCCTCCTCCTCCTCTTCATGTCGAGGTTTCCAATGCGCGCCGTCGCCGCCCTCGGCTGCTGCAGCCGCCCATCCTTCTTCTCCAGCTCCGCCTGGTGCGTCTTCTGCTGCTGTTTCAGCTGCTGCTGCTGCTGCTCCTTATCATCCTTTCTGCTCTTGCGGCTCGTTCTCCTCTCCCTACCCTCGCTGCTATCATCCTCCACTTCCATCTTTATGTTCGACCCTCTTCCTCTTCCTCCTCTTCCTCCTCCTCCTCCCCTCCCAGCGCCGAACTCTTCCAGAGGTTGCCGAGGTCGTCATGGATCTGCTGGTGCCTTCGAAGCCAGCGCCTTGCGCGCAGCGCTCGTCATGGACGGGGCAGGGAGCAGACCTGGCAGGGAATGGGAAGACGATAAGAATGGTGACGGTGGTGATGGTGACAGTGTACTGATGGTAATATGAGGGTGATGGTGATGGTGATAATGATGCTGACCATGACAGTGATGATGAGGTGGTGGAGAGGTGGATGTGAATGAAAGATGAGAGGAACGATGATGATGGTGATGATGATGTTGATGATGATGATGATGATGATGATGATGATGTCGATTATGATGAGGCATGGGATGTAAATGGAAGCGGAGTGACGAGCAGGCAGGATGATGAGGAGAAGGAGGACGAATACGAGGAGACGAGGAGGAGAAGGAGGAGGAACGCCGACGATTATGGTCTGTGCCAGCGTGCGCGGTGACCCACCCGCGGCCGCACACGAATGAAGGATAAGGAGGAGGAGAACCGTTCGCCCGGTGCGTGGTTCAACACCTGGAGCCTTCCATTGACTGCTCTTCAGCAGACTTGGTCGCCCAGGGCTGCATCGGATCTTGCCCCCCTCTCACTCAAGGAGGAGGAGGAGGAGGAGAAGGAGGAGGAGGAGGAAGGATGATGACGATGAGGACGAGGACGAGGGAAGACGACGATGAGGACGAGAAGGTGGACGATGAGAAGGAGGAGCATGAAGAGAAGGAGGAGGATGAGGATGGGGGAGGAGGAGGATGGGAAGCAGGTGGAGTAGGACGACGACGAGGGATGAGAAGGCGGAGGTGGTGGTAGGGGAGGAAGAGAACGACTAGGAGGTAGGAGGAGGGAGGGGGAGAGGTAGGAGGAGGAAGAGGAGGTGGAGGAGGCGGAGGACCGCTGACCAGTGTAAGCCCAAGACGCATTCATGCTGTTTCCCATAACCCCTCCCTCTTGAGTTCCCTCTTCCGTTCAAGAGTTTGTTTTCATTGCGGGCTGTGCCCCATTAGAGTACAACCGTCTGAGAATCTTCTATCGCGCCAGAATGCCATTCCTGGCAAGTTAGCGCAGCGAATCAACGTGACGAGTGCGTCCTGACAATCTTAGGCCGTGGCAGAATACCGATCCTGGGACTTCAACAGCGAATCCACGTGACTGTTGCGTCTTGACAGGCCTGAATCGTGCCAGGACACCGTTCTTGGGATTTCAACCATACGAATCCTGGAAGCAGCTGCAAACTCTTAAGACGAATGTGCGCGGCGCGCCCAGAATCCTTGAATATGCTGCAAACTTGTAAGAGGAATCTGCGCGGCGCTCAGGCGAGAACCAAATGTTGAAAAACACCCGCCCTCCATCAGTGAAGCTGCTGCAAACTCGTAAGACAAAGGTGCGCGGCGCGAAGGCGATACTTGCACGTTTCAAACGGTTCGCCCTCCATCCGTGACTCTGATGCAAACTTGTAAGACGAATGGGAGCGGCGCTAGGGCGAGGTCACATGTTGAAAACAGCCTGCATTCCAATCTTGAAGCTGTTGCAAGCTTGGACGACGCATGTGCGCGGCGCCCAGTCGAGAACCATAGGTTGAAAACCACCGGCCCTCAAGCCGCCAAGTTGTTGCAGCTTTGAAGATGGATGTTCGCGGTGCGAATGCGAGAACCACATTTTGAAAACGGCCCGCCCTCCATTTTTGAAAGTGTTGCCAACGTGAAGTTTCAGGATCATGAGTAGAGGAAGTCTCAGGAGAGACGCCCAGCCCGCCCTACCCACACGTCTGGGGATGCGACAGGGAGGAGTTCTGTAGAAGGGAACACGCTGGAGGGGGAGGATTCGGAGGAAGAGAAAGAGGAGGAGGAAGAGTAGGAGGAGGAGGAGGAAAAGGAGGAGGAGGAGGAAGAACAGAAACAGGAGGGAAGGATGGAGGAGGGAAAACATGGAGGGACGGGGGGGAAGCGGAGAGGAGAAGGAGGAGGGGGGAGGAGGACGTGGAGAAAACGGGGAGGGGGGGAAGGGGGGAGGAAGGAGGAGGAAGAAGCATGAGGAGGAGGGAGGAGGAGGAGGAGGAGGAGAAGAAGAAGAAGGAGGAGGAGGAGGATAATAAAGAGCTGAAGGGGAGGGAGGTGTCCAAGGGTTGGTCTGCTAAAACCTCGCTCGAGTTGCAGCGGCTCGCAGCTTGGATGCAGGTTTTGCCATTCCCACTGGTCGTGCCGCTCGCCGGGTTTCCGACGCCGTTCAGCAGAAGCTTGAGCAAACTCAAAGCAAGTATGACACAAGGCCGCTGCGGAAGAGGTCGGGCCCATGGAGTCTATTCGGCAGTGTGCTTCCAATTTGGCGGAGTGCATGGCCAAGGCGGACGAGGCTGTCATGAAGGCCGCCCAGGCCGATGCAGCCATTTCCAGCCGAGGCGGTTGCGCCAGCGATCCCGCCGAGCAGCTCGGGAGCCCGGTCGCCAGCCTCACTGCCGTGCTCCCCGAGGCCGCCAACGTTCTCACGCCAACTGCCGCCACCGTCAAGGAGCAGGTGGACAAGAAGCGCGCCGCGATCGAGGCCCAACAGCAGCGGCATAATGACGCTCCTCCTCTTCCTCCTGGCCAGCGGCCTGGCAGCACAGGTGTACCGGGGGTGCCAGATCCAGAGCTTTGGGCGGACTTCGGCAAGCCTGAGTTCTCCGACAGCTTCCCCAAGGCCCAGGGCATGGCCGTCAAACCCGATGGTGGCGGCATGGAGATTCCTGAAAAGGGCGGCGCCGGGTCGGGTTCAGCAAGTGAGGCAGAAGTTCAGCCGCTCCTTCTTCGAGTCTCTGTTGTCAGCCATGCAGAAGCACAAGGCGAAGCGCGCAAAGGTCGAGGGCGCAACTCCGTCGGTTCAGCCCCACTTGGTCCTTCGTCACCAGTAGCATATCAGAGCGCTCGGGCCTCGATACCGCTCTCACTTCGCAAGCCGCGATCGAGGCCGAAGTCGTCGGCATTCAGGAGCATCACTTCGTCGAGCGTGCTGTTTAGAAGCAGAGGCTCTGTCCGCCAGCAACGCCAGCAGGTCTCACAGGCCAAGGGGGGCAGCTCAGGTATTTTGTTCCAGGTGGCGCAGCAGAAGCACGGGCGTTTTCTTCTTCATGGGCACGATCGTATCGCTGTTCGGTACATGTCAGGCGCATGTCCAGGCGGAGTGCTGGGGGTAGTGATCTACTTGCACGACTCGCAGGGCCCTTCCGGCCAGCAGCTGAAGCCTCTTGTGCAAGATTGGTTCGTTGGTGCGCATGTCCCGCATGCCGTTCATCCCCGCTAGAGATTGGAACCCCAGCCCTGAGGAGTTTCCGGGCCCAGGCTGGGTCGAGGCGCTGTCGGCGCTTGTGATCGCACCCGCGATGGCCACATGCACGGGTGAGTATGGCAGAGTGTTGGATGATTTCGTTGTGTCTGAGGGGCTGCAGTACAACCATCAGCTCACGGTGCTCGCAGACGTTGGGACCACGCCACATTATCCCGTTCGTCTTCGTTTTCCCGGGCTCGAGCAGCTCCCTGCTTTGCCGCAGATTCGCGTGCCACGGGCGTTCCCTCGGCAGCGCCCCTGCGGCGTCAGGCAGGGCGCCAATCGGCGGCGCGCAGTCGCGGACAAGGTGAAAGCCGAGGTGGGCACGCAGGAGCTGCGGCAGAGCATCGCGTGCGTAATGGAGCTGGATACGCGCGATATCAATCGCATCCCGTCCGACGAGGCGCACCCGCGCAAGGACCAGGCCGAGCTGCGTGCGCGGCATTTTGCCCTTCGCCACCTGGCGGAGGTTGGCCGCGCAGGTTTTTGCGGGGCCCTGCAGGCATCAGTCTGCTCAGCGCCGCCGCGCGCCCCTCGCCTTCAGTCGCAAGCTCCCCGAGTAAGGTGAACAGTTTACCGATGCCAGCGCGCTGCCCTGAGTTACCCCCCCCAGGTCCGCCCCAATCGCTGTCCCGGGAGCTCTCGGCGGCCCTCGCCGTCGAGGCCAGACGCCCGGGCAAGTTTCAGAGAGCGGCCGAGCATCGCCGCGGCGCCAGCTGGAAAAACCGGGTCAAGTTCCACAGTAATTCGGGGGGGGGGGGGGCGCTCTCTTCGACCTCTCCGAGCCCCCCGCGCCCCTGGCACTCGCAAATTAGGGCCGGGCCAGCCCCGGCCCCTGAGCCGACGGCAGCCCTCCGCCAGCGCCAGTGCGCAGGGAGGAGAAGATGGATCACTTGGCGGCGGAGCGGGGGGCGCACTGGGAGATGGGGACTTTCCGAGATCCCCATGCTGCGGCCAGCAGACACGGGCCCAAAGTTGCCTGACTTTGACCTTGACGCACGCAACGACTGTTTCCAGAGCTTCAAGGCCTGCAGCGGCGCCGGTTTCGATCAGATCTCTCCGAGGCAATTGCCGGGGCTTCCAGAGGAGGGCTTAGAGCGCTTTCGCCAGCTCGCTCCAACCATAGAAGGCTGCTCTGCGCGGCCACAGTTGCGGGCGGGCGGCCTCCGCCCGGCCGCGTTGATGCGCGTCGCCCCCGGAGTCCAACGTCGCCTGCGTCGCCCCCGCACGTGGCATTGACAAGAGCAGAACGTTCGGGAGTTTGGGCGGTCGACTCGGGGTCGGGGGGCGGGTCGTCTCGCCCGGGCGCGAGCCGCCTTCGCCGAGCGAGCTCCGGGGCGGCAGGGGCGATATTTTTTTCAGGCGCAGCGCCGCTTGACCTGCGCAAGCGTTTGCACGCGTCGGGCGTGGAGATATGCTCGAGGCGGCTCGTCAGGCAAGTCAGTTTGCTGGCGGGCCCGCGTCGGGCCCCGCGGGCCCTGGGCCACGCCTGGGCCACTTCGGCCCCCATCTGCGCGCAAAAAGGCGATTTTGCCGAGCTGCCATTACGCCGCCGTGATGTTGCAGAAAGCGTTGCTCGCCCTATTGGACGCAGTCCAAGCCGCCTTCCCACTCCGCGCTGCTCGCGAGGTTCAGAACGAGGCGGCGGTTGGCGACTCGGGGTGGCGCCGGGCGAGGTCATCCGAGCAGGTCGAGATGCGATATGCCAGGCTACCTTCATGTTTCATGATGTGCTTGACGAGGTCCATCTTCCAGCCAGTCGCCCCAAGTGG